TCAATCAACTGGTTAATTAACTATTTAATTAATATTTCAGGCCTTGCTTATAATATAAAATTTATTTACAAATAATTCATTCAATTTTTGCTTAATAAAACATTTTTTGGTCGGAAATTAAACAATAGGGTTTAATTGTCCTCAGAGTGGTATAGAATTCTGAGGTTTTGGTTATTTGCTTTAATATAGAAAGCAAAGGTTTGGGTTTTGGTTTTTGTTAAGCATAAATGTTTTTGTTTAAGTTTTTGTAAAAGTGTTTAAATATTTAAGTAAGTGTTAAGTTTGATTGGCAAAAGTATTAAGTGTTAATGTTGATAATGATGAGTTATTATTTTACGTTATTATTATTATTATATTATTTATGATGATCAACATTAAAAATTTTTTTTTGAGCCATTGTTTACTATTAATTTACCACGTGATTCCCCTAAAAAATCGAGATTTTTTTTAGAAAAAATTTTTTTTTGATAATATTCTTTTAATTGACAAGCTTTTTTTATTTATAATTCTGTAGTGTATTAAAATGGGTAAGTAAATTCAATTTATTCAATTAATTAAAAAGGAATTCAATTAAAATTTTTCTATTATTATTGAAAAAAAATTTTTTTTAACTGTCAATTACTAAATATTACTCAATAATAATAATAATAGCTGTTGGCAAGGTAAATTGGAAATTTCATTCATTTCTTCAATTCACTCATCTATTTTTTTTTGGTTTAATTGATTGATTAAATAACATCTATTTATTATTTTATTGAATAAAATAGAATAAACGTCTTAGCAAAGGAAAAAAAGGATTAAAGAAAAAAATGTGTGTTTTTGAATAATCAATATTTAATAATTAATGTTAATTAATACTTCTTAATGATTAATGCATTGATGGAAAAAAAAAGTTTTTCTAATTTAATCTAATCAATTTTTTTAAATATTTATAATATCATAGTGTTGATCCATTTACTCGTAAAGATTGGTATGATGTGAAAGCTCCATCAATGTTTTTAGTTAGAAATGTTGGTAAAACACTTGTTAACCGTACACAAGGTTTAAGTAAGTAATGCATCGATAATGATTTTTTAGCTTAGCTTTTCAATAAATTGAACCATAATAATTATAACAATTATATAAATATTTATTTATTCATTTAAAATAGAAAATGCTGATGATGCATTAAAAGGTCGTGTGTTTGAAATTTCATTAGCTGATTTAAATCAAGACGAAGAACAAGCTTATAGAAAAATCAAATTAAGAGTGGACGAAGTACAAGATAGAAATTTATTAACAAATTTTCATGGAATGGATTTTACATCTGATAAGCTTAGATCTTTGGTCAGAAAATGGCAGGTAAAATATATATATAAAAAAAAGATTTTCTGCTTATATACATCTATTTTTGGCATTACTAATCAAATAATTCAATTTTTATTTAATTATTTATTTATTTATTTTGTTTACCTATTAAAAATCATTTTAGACTTTGATTGAAGCACATGTTGATGTCAAGACAACAGATGGATATTTACTTCGTTTATTTGCAATTGCTTTCACAAAAAGGCGACCAAATCAAATTCGTAAAACCACATATGCACAAACTTCACAAATTCGTCAAATTCGTAAAAAAATGTTTGACATTATGACTGCTCAGGCTACTAGTGCAGATTTGAAAGGTTTAGTAGAAAAATTTGTACCTGAATCAATTGGTCTTGAAATTACAAAAGCTTGCCAAGGAATTTATCCTCTTCAACATGTAAGCATTTATTATTACTATTATTATTTGAAATATGTATTTTTATATATTTTAACAAATAAAAAAAACCTCCCAAAAAAATTTTTTTTATAATATAGGCTTATATTCGTAAAGTAAAAATTCTTAAAAGTCCTAAATTTGATGTACAAAAATTAATGGAATTACATGGTGATAGTGCTGATACTGGTTCTAAAATAGGTGCTAAAGATTTCAAAGAACCAGAAGTTCAAGAATCAGTATAAAGAAAGACTTTTTTGATTGTTTAACTATAATTTTGTTAATACATATTTATTATGATATATATTTTGCAATATTGGTAGCAATTAATATATTTAATTAATAAAAAAATTTATACACAATTAATAAAGAAAAAAAAGGAAATAGTTCTTAGAATTGTTTATTAAAAGTAAAATAAAATAAAAAATATATATAAAAAATATTATTATTATTATGAAAAAAAAAATTATGATATGTATTTTTATGTCCTTTTTTTTTAAAAAAAAAACAAATGATTAATATAAAATAATATAAAATAATTATCAAAAATCTTTATAAAATAAAATATTCACATAATAATTAATGCAATAATAGGTTTTGACAAATAATTAATAAATGTACCTGTTTGCCATAATTACTACTACCACTATACTACATCATAATTCTTCCACATCCTAATTACTATTAATATTTTAATCCATATCCACCACAATGATTAATTACCCAAAACATCAAGAAGATCTTACAGCAAAGAAAAAACATCATATTTTAATGCACAAAATCAATTTTTTGATAATATAAAACCTAGCAACAAAAAGGATAAAAATAAATAAATAAATAAATCATCATCAAACAAAATAGTTTTCTTAATTTTGATTCCAGTATTGACTACGATTTCTGGCACCTTGATGATGTGCTTGATGAGGGTGGTATTGATGGTTTTGTAGATATTGATAACTATTAAACACTTGTTGAGCTTGTTGTTGACTATAATAATTGGGAGTGCTAGATTGTTGTTGATGCTGTATTGCACCAGATTGACCAACCCCCGAAGACTGTTGTTGGCCTGATGCAGAAGTTTTATCCTGATAAGATTTGTATTGGCCTTGAGGATTCAAGTCTGAATTATTGTTACCAGTCTTTGATGATGTAGTGGTATTTGATCCACCTGATGCAGAGGAAGGTTGTGGATTGCTATTAACACCTCCTGCATTACCCAAGAAATTAATTGGTGGCATACCACTGCCTCCTCCATAAGTTTTCTGATAATTGTGAACATTAGGCACTGCACCAGGAAGATGATGTATCAGAGGAGACATTTCATCATATCTGGTGTTTGAGTAATGAGGTGTGCTGGGAGTAGTAGGGGTCGTGGGGTAACCATAAGGTGATGCACCTGATGCCAATCCACATTGATTTATTTACATTTACTAACAGTTGGTCATAACCAGATTGCTGATAGGCAGAAGGAAATTGGTTTGTCATATAGTAGTACAGATGAAAATATGGTACACTAACAGGATATGTTTGTTGTTGTTGTGGGATTGGCACCGGTTACTATGGGATTGGCAATTTTTTTTGAAGAATTTTAAGAATTTTATAAATCTTTACTAATTAATTTTGTTTGAAATTTTCCAAAAAATTAAAGGGGTTTTGTATTTACATGCAACAAAATTTTGAAGATGTTTAAACGCGTTTCGCGTAACTTATCTATGTAACATGCATAAATTTGGATTTTTGAGCCGGATCTAATATATAATTTGGCACGTGATTCCCCCTACCCTTAAAAGAGTTTCATATTGAGTAATATCTCACACTTCCTTATTATCAAAACCTTTTCCTCGTTTAAGTCCAAAATATCTTCTATATAAGGACATATTAGTTATACCTTTAGAGTTTCAGTAGTTTTTGATTTCTGCAATGATTGTTTGGATTTGTTCCTGTCTCTTTTTTCTTCTTCTTGGTATACCTTCTTGAATAGAATATTTTCTTTATTTTTCTTTTCATCATCTTGGGAATAATAACCCTCATCTTCTTCTGAAGAAGCAAATTTCTTCCTAACTTTTTCTTTAATTAGTTTAAACAATTGTTCTATTAACTCTTTGTCTACTTCTTTCAAATCTTCTTTGGTTATTTTTAGTAAGTCATTTAAGGAATAATTATCAAGAATTTGCTCAAGTTGAAAAGAGCAAGAACATCAATAATTTCATTTTTATTAAGTACTAATTCAAGTTTAGGAAACTTTTCTCAATCAATAATTGTCTTCAGATGTTCTCTAATAAACTCATCAGTAGGAATGAAAAAAAAAGTTTTTCAATAGATTTTCCAGAGTTACCAAAATAACATTCTGGATAATAGAAATCTCTGCTTTCAATATCTGCATTTTTATCAATAAACTGTTTAGAACAGTGTTGGAATTGGACCAGGTCCAATTGGGTATAGTCCAAATGGACATTAATCGCCAGTTTCACAAAAAAATTTTTTAAAAGTTTAATTTTTTTAAATGCCACCCATAAAACATTCTCTCACTGGATATATCACAGTATTAAATGAAAAAGCCAATAAATCTAATCATTATGCACTTTGTTGTTTTTGTAAAACAAAATTAACAAATACTAAAAAATTGGTAACTTCTCATTTAAAAATTGTGCAATCTTCAAGGAAAAATATACTGAACATAAACAAGAGAAAATTCTTTTTCCTGGAAATGAAAATAATCAATATGATGGTAGTAATATTTAGTAACTTTGAGATAAATATAATTATTAAGCAAGATAAAACTTACAATTTTATATTTTGAGGTCCTGAATTTGATTCTTCATCTTCAATATGCACTAATGAATCTTCAATTTTATCAAGTTCATCATCAACCTTGTCTGTAGAAAAATCAGGTAATAAAAAAAGAAAAATAAGTAATTATTTTGCTCACTCTATTCCTCTTTCTAAACAAGATAAAGAACATTGGGAGAAGCTTGTATTGAATTCTACCATAGGTAATGGTTGGTCATTCAGATGGGTTGACAAAAAATCAAGTCAAATATTATTTAATTTTGCAAATCCAGGATTGAAATTACCAAGCCATAAAGTATTAGCTGGTCATATTTTAACTAGTAATTCTGATAAAATCAGGAATAGTTTAATTGATATTGCAAAGAAGGATTTTTTTGGTGTTACAATAGGCTTTGATGGGTGAAAAACATTAAAAAGCAGGAAATTTTAGGTTCAGTTTTAATTACTTCACATGGACAAGTTTTAATTTGGGGAGGGGAAGTTGTGAGTAGAAATCGTTTGCAATGGCAAAATATAAAAGAATTATCATTGAATTTTTTGGACAAGTTAGATAAACTAAATATCAAATATAATGCTATGTTTACTGATTCAGCATCACAAAATCAAGTAGCAAGGTATTTTTTTAAAATAAATTTTTATTCAATTATTTGTAAGTTTAACTTTTATATTTATAGAAAACAGCTGTCACCAGAATGACATGGTTTTTTTTTGGTCCTTGTTTTGCACATCAAACCAATTTAATTGTTGGAAAGATATTTAAAGAATCATCTAGTTTAGTTGTTTCATCCAAAAAGGCAATTCAAATCATTTCTTTCTTAAACAGATCAGTTTACTTTATGGAAAAGTTATGTGATGAACAAAAGTTTAAATATAACAAATATTTTGCAGTTCTCCTTCCATGTGCTACTTGCTGGAATTCTCATTATCACTGCTACTCCAGTTTGTTGAGAAACCAAGTTTGCTTTAAAGGTATTTAAAAAATATCATTAAAGGTTTTTATTCAATAAGAATTAATTCTTATATTTGTTTAGATGCTTGTTTCAAAATATTCTCCTAGAGAATTTGAAGTAGATGATAATTATACAGGAAATGATGAGAATGATAGAGAAATGCCACTTGGAATCTGTAGAATAATTGCTAATGAAGATTGGTGGAAGGATATTAAAAAATTGGAAAAGTTTTGCTTTCATTTTGTGGTGCACTCAACAAATTACAACAGATAATGCTTGTCTTCATGATGAACTATATTGTTTTGCTTATTTTACAAGATGTGGAAGGAGTACCCTGACCAAAATTTAAGTGCAAGGATGATTACTTGTCTAGAAAAACATTGACAAATATGGGAGCAACCATCATTATTATTATCCTTCATTCTTCATCCTGAATATCATGACAAAATTTTCCTTCAAGATAATACATCTATTTTTATTGCAAAACTCAGTGAATGGATGATATATTATTTTTGTGTATGGTTTAAAAAAGTTCCTGATACTTTGTTAGGTGAATTACAAAATTATCATAGACAAAATTTTCCTTTTCACAATATTTCATTAAAAAAAATTTAATGATGGTATACTTGGCTTTTGGGATTTTGTTTCAGCTTATACACCAGATTTGAGTATTTTTCTATCAATATGCATAAATACTGTTTCTGTGGAAAGGCTTTTTTCTGCAATGGATTTTTTCCACACAAAAAAAAGAAACCATTGGATGTATGTGAATTTTATATTTTATATATATATTTTTTGACTATAATTATTGATCATTTAGTTTTTTCATTATAGTTTGAAAAGGTCTTTGCTATGAGTCAAATGAAAGGAGAGTTTCAGAGATTAGAACAATTAGAAAATATTCAAAATTCAAACAAAAAATTTAAAACTAGAAGTGTTGTAATTCCAATTATTCAAGAACAAACTGATGAATTGTTTATGGTTTCTGATGATGATGATGATAGAAATGATGATTTTTTTAATAATGATTTAGAATATTCCGAACATGATATTCAATCACCTCATGAGTGAAGAAATTTAATCAATGAATGGATTTAAATGGTAGAAGAAGAAGAGGAGAACACTAGTAGGTATTTGGCAAAGAGCAGTTAATTGAGTCAGGTTAAAATTTGCTCGGTTTGTCTTATTTTTTCGTTAATATCTACTTATGAACAATTAACCTCTTTGATTAGTTCAAAAGGGCATTCTTGGAGAACTATCCTTCAAATAATATATTGTTAATTTTAACTATACTTTCATTTATAACTCGTTTTTGGAATATAAATTATCCAACACAAGTGGTGTTAGTTATTTTTTTTTGTCATTAAATTTTTTTTAAAAAAATTTATTAACAATATGTGTTTACATGTATTTAGTTTTGATGAAGTGCATTTTGGCAAATTTGCCAGTTACTACTTAAAAAGATCCTATTTCTTTGATGTTCATCCACCACTTGCAAAACTTATGCTAGCAGCAATGGGATGGCTACTTAATTTTGATGGACACTTTGAATTTGATAATATTGGAGATGATTATATAACAAACAATGTACCATATATAGGATTAAGAGGTTTACCTGCAACATTAGGTGCCCTCTTTGTTCCGTTGACATATGTCATCTTGATTGAATCAGGTTATCCAGTAGTGACAGCAACTTTTGCAGCTGGATTAGTTCTTTTTGGCAAGCAATCATTTTATCATATTTATATGCATATATATTTATAGTTGTTTATTTTTGTTCATAGTAATTATTAGTGTTATATATTTTTCAAGACACAAATAATCTCATAAAGTTGGCTTCATATAGACAACGCACTGATTTGTCAGACACGATTGATTCTTCTTGATTCGATGCTTGTATTTTTTATGCTTTGCACTTTTTACTCTTATATACGTTTTTATAAACTACACTTGAGGTAATAGTTAATCAATCTATTTGTTGTTTACATAATTAGAGAATATGTTTATATTTACATATATATAATTTAAAACATTCTATGTTGTTAAATCTTTAGAGAGTATTCTAATGAATGGTGGCTTTGGATGATCACAACTGGATTTTTTTTGGGTTTAACATTAAGGTAAATAATTGATCAAAGTTTCAATATTACAATTTGATTATTTCAAGTGATTTAATTTTTTTGTCCTAAAATATTTTTACAGTGTTAAAATGGTTGGATTTTTTACAGTTCTTACAATTGGCACTGCAGTTTTAATTGATTTATGGGATTTATTAGATATACATCGTGGATTAACTATGGTACACCTTTGAAAAAAAAATTTTTTCTATATTTATTATTGCTATGTATTTTGGGAGGGCAGGTTTTGTTTAAAAAACCAATTATATTGATTGTTTAATAACTAATTCAAGTCCAACAGGCACAATTTAAAAAACATTTTTTTGCACGTGCAGCTGGCCTTATAATTGTACCAATTTCTGTTTATTTATTTTGGTTCTATGTTCATTTTGCTATCTTGAATACAAGTGGTACTGGTGATAATTTTATGAGCCCTGCTTTTCAGGAAACCTTGCATGGAAATTTAATGTCTACTCAAAGTTTTGGTAATTATATATATATTTCTGTTATAATTATATAAATATTGATACAAGTATATTCATCTATATAAATAATATATTGTATCATTAGATATTAAATACAATGATACTATAACTATAAAGCATAAAGGTACTTCAGTATTTTTGCATTCCCATACAGAACGTTATCCATTACGTTATGATGATGGTCGTGTTAGCAGCAAAGGTCAACAGGTGACAGGTTATCCACATAATGACACAAATAATCATTGGCGAATTAAAACACCAGGATCTTTATTTGATTCATCAAGACCAGAAAATGACACAATCAAACATGGTGATTTTATTATTTTAGAACATGTTGGCACTCAATCTTATCTTTTAACTCATGATGTTGCTAGTCCATTAATGCCTACGAATCAGGAATTCACCACTATTGAGCCCAACGACACAGCTCGTTTTAATGATACACTTTTCCAAGTTTTTACTAAAGATGGTGATAAAGAATCTGTTATAAAAACCAAGTCAAGTTTTTTTCGCTTAATTCATTTTAATACTAAAGTTGCACTTTGGACACATGAATCTAAATTGCCTGAATGGGCATTTGGACAACAAGAGGTTAATGGTAATAAGAAAAATACAGAAAATTCTAATTATTGGTTTGTAGATGAGATTATTGGCTTAAATGGTAATAAATATTTGAAATTTTATTTTGGTTCATTTATTTATACATAATTATTTATATTATTTATTTGTTTTATTTTGTTGCTTTTTTTTTTTTTGATTAGTAACAATTCCAAAGGAACCTAAAAAACCAACTAGACAATTATCTTTCCTTCGTAAATTTTTTGAACTTCAAAATCTCATGATAAGTCATAATGCTGGATTAACAAAACCTCATCCTTATTCCAGTGGCCCAATCAATTGGCCATTTTTAATACGTGGTATTTCATTTTGGACAAATAGTGACACTAAGGAACAAATATATTTAATTGGAAATCTAGTTGGATGGTGGATTGCAATTGGTTTAATGTCTGTTCTTATTGGTGTTTTAGCAGCTGATATGCTTTCAAGAAGACGTGGTACAGATCCTATTCCAAAACGTAAGTATTTTATTATAATTAAATATGTATATATATATATATAATTTAACTTAGATTATTATGATCATTATCATTATAGCTGTTCGTAATCGTTTATATAATTCTGGGGGATTCTTTTTTATGGCATGGATGTTTCATTACTTTCCATTTTTTTTAATGGGAAGATCATTATTTTTACATCATTATTTGCCAGCTTTGCTGTGTAGTTATTTAACATCGGGAGTAGTGTTTAATTTTATGTTTGTTGAATCTATAAATTATCCAATTTCCATTCCAATTCCATCAAGATCAAAACACACATATCTATTAAGTGCTAAAGTTGACGTCATTACAATAGCAATAGCAGCTTTGGCTTTGATTTTGGATGCAAGTATTTTTTTTTATTTGGCTCCAATTACATATGGTACACCGGGTTTAGGTCCTGAGGAAGTTTATTATAGAAGATTATTAGATACTTGGGATTTACATTTTCAACCAAAATTATAAAATTATACAAGATTATATACTATATGTTTATATACTTATATTAGGATTGTTCATTTAGCAAATAATTTGTTGATTGATTGATTGATTGATTTTAATAATTTAATTTCATTATGCAATAATCAATCTATTTATTATGTAATCTATAAACTCATATTTTTATTAAAAAAATATTTGAAAATTAATAAGAAAATGATGATTTTTACCAAAAATTAAGACTATGAAATAACATCAAATGAATATATTCTATAATTAATAAACGTTGCAACAATAATAGACATTATAAAGACTTCATTTTAAATATATATCTTTTAATTTGATTTCTTTTACAAAATGTCATCCCAAGTTTCATTTTGTTCAACCTCGGGGTCACTTTCAGAGGGTTCACTGTCATCAATATCTTCGTCTTTATGTTTGTCAACACATTCTTGAAGGAAATTCAAAATTTTTAATTATTATATTTTAAAGTTGATTTTTTTTATTTACATACACTACTATCTGTTTGATCTCATAAATTTGTAAAAAATCCACATATTGTATTAATTACACATTACTCATATGACTTTGTAATATTAATCTGATGTATTTATTTACATAACATTGGTCACTAGTTATTAGTAATCAGAGTGAATCATAATTTATAATTAATAAGCA